TTCTCCTACTCCGCTCCTGTTTCCTGGAATATCTTGTAAAAAGACCTGAAGCTCTCGACCTTTGACCTCTCTAAGTGGCTTTAAACATCAGTTCATGGGAAAAAACCAACGCAGACATGTTCCTGTTTTTAGTTTTCCACATCGTCTCAATCTAGCTGGGCTTTTTGTTGCTACTTTTCCTTTTGACTGTCCTTTTGGTTGCTAGTTTATTTTAATTTGTAAAATAATAATAATTGTATGCTTCTTTTATAATGTTTATTGTTGTAGCTGTTGTCATTACTCTTTGCTGAAATCAGGTCTCTGTTGTAAATGAGTCCCCGAGGCTCAGTGGGATTAACCTGTTTAAATAAAGTTTTTTTATCTCAGGGCACTGAACAGAAACATGGCCAGCCCGATGCATTGGGGGAAACGGTTTCCTCAAATTATTGGGATGTTCCATTTACTCTTAGATGGTGGAGCCATCTTGGATTTTAACATGGCAACCCAGTTTTGATGCATTTCTTACGCCTAGATGCAACCACACACCAAAATGGACGTGGGCACCTCACGTAGTCTTTAAATCAGGCTCACAACGTGCACAAAGTGCACAAAGTGCACAAAGTGCAGGGGTGGTATTCCCAAGTCGCAAAACAAGTTTAAAGTTGACGAGGGACAAACTGAGAGAAGACAATGGTCTAATGTTGAAACAAGAAAAACTGAAGATTTGTAAAAATGTTGGAAAGTTTAGACAAGTTATTGTGACACTATTTAAATGAGCAAAACAGACACGGATCATAAAATCAGCCAAAGAGTAGCTAAAAGTAGCAGAAGAAGGCGTAAAGCGATAGTTTGTTGAAATGTTTTTAAAGGAATTAAAGACGTCTGAGTGGGTTCTTAGTGAATTTTATTTAAAATAAAGTTACAGATGGACTCCTCATTCATAAGATTATTCACGTGGTGACGTTTTCATCAGGTTTGTAACAAGAAGCGACTTCAAACCAGGTGAAAACTTCTCTCGTCTGCAGCTGAATCTGTTTTTAAACCTTTGGACTGATCAAACGTGCACTCCTCCGTGCTCTTTGAGTTTCTGGTCGGAGCTGATCTGCAGCAGAAAATTCCCATAAGGATTTCCTCGTTTCAGAAATCTGAACCAGACTGGCAGGTTTTAAAGTTCAGCAGGTCTCGTGTGTCTGTTTGGTCGTAGTCACCAAACGTCAGCTCGTTTAGAGGCAGCCTAATTAAACAGAAGGTCAAAGGTCAGGGTCAGCTGCAGCTGCTGTGGAAATGTAACCGAGGCGCTGAGGATAAAAACAGCTGTTTGAATGAAATCACTTTAAAGAGCTAAAGTTAAAAATAATCCTCTGGTATTCCTCAGAGGGAGGTATACTCACCTGTGATGATCGACCAATCAGAGAGCTCGATTTACCTGGAGGAAACCCTTTATAAGCGTCAGGCTGGGGGACTGAGACGAGACGATCCACGGCTTCTTCGGCATCAACGTCAGAATTCCCTGTAAGTTTTTACACTTTTACTGAAAGTTTCAAAGTTTGATTTTTACCTGTTGCTACTGAAATAATTAAAATAAATCTTAAACTCGACATCAAACGTTTTCTAATCTCATCGTTTTTAACATTAAAATAGTTGTTGGGCAGCGTTCTAATACATTTCATTTTCTATTTTTTTAAATTGTGCAATTAACTAAATAAAAACGCATTTCTGTTGTGATCATACACTGATTTTCACCTGACGGGTTGTTTACCTGTTGTTTACTTGTTGTTTTCCAGTCAGAGTCCAGATGATGCTGCTGGTCGTCGTGGTGACGGTGTGTCTGAGTGCGGTTCTGTCCGCCCCCAGTCTGGACCCTCAGCTGGATCAGGACTGGGACCTGTGGAAGAGTTGGCACAATAAAACTTACAAAGAGGTGAACTGTCGTGTTGTTACTGTTTCTTGTTGTTGTTTTCTGAAGCTGTGAGAATAAACAACAAATCACGTTCATCATTCTTCTTCGTGTTCCGTTTATGGACCGAACCCAGGTTCTGATTTACAGACAGATGTTCTAACTTGTGTTGGGCCGGTATCTACATTAATGAATAGACTTCTCAGTAAATTGCAATAAAAACAAAACAAACATGAAGCTGCTCTTGCTGCATCGCCTGGACTTATGGTTTCCATGGAAACACAGAGCTCAGTCATGACTGACCAGAACCTGAAGGTGAAACTGAGTCTGGTTCTTGTTGACCGCAGAGAGAGGAGGTCTGGAGGAGGACGGTGTGGGAGAAGAACCTGAAGAAGATCCAGCTCCACAACTTGGAGCACTCTATGGGCAAACACTCCTACCTCCTGGGGATGAACCGCTTTGGAGACATGGTGAGTTCACCGCACAGAACCGGGTCCGGGTGCTGTACCCGGTACCACGGGTTTATTAATAAGGCCGATGAGACTCAGGAACTTATTCTGATTAGGTCTTATTTTATTTAGCATGTCGTCAAATTCAGTTCAGTTCATGGGAGAAACATTTTTACCTGGGTGCAAAACAGGAAAAAAATCATCCTGATTAATTGTTATTCGCCTCCATTCAGTTCCATTGAATAAATTAATAAATTATAAAAAAACAATTGCAGTTTTGTGAAAACAGTCAACAGATTTTACTGTCACAAAACACAATTTTAATAAATGTCTGCATAGCAATGAACGTTTATACCAAACTACTTAATTGTTACTAAATGGCAAATGTAGTGATACAAGGACATGTCCATGTGGAACTCCAGAACTAACGTTTGTTTGTTTTAAGAGAAAACTAATTAAGATAATTTACAATAAAACAGTGCCTGTAACCTTTCCTCCCACAGACTAACGAGGAGTTTACACATATAATGAATGGCTTCAAACCCAAAGCAAACAAGAAGACCAAGGCATCTCTGTTCACGAAGCCCACCTCCATGAAGGTCCCTTCCAGTGTGGACTGGAGGACTGAAGGCTACGTTACCCCTGTGAAGGATCAGGTAATTTAGGATTTCTCCTCTGCTTGCACTTCACAGGTTTTCTGTTTTTTTTTGTTTTTTTTGTCTAATCCATCCTCAGTATCTCGTGTTCCTCCACCCCTGAAGACCTCACCAGACCCTGCAGAGACCCACCACGTTCTGGCTGGTGTTTCGTGTTGTAGCATGGCTGTGGTCCTTCTGTTTTCTCTGAGCTTTTACAGCCTAAACTCTTTGGTTTTACTCTCAGGGAAGACTAAAATCCATAAAATACCATTTTTGTTAATAATCAGTATCTTCTGTTGGTTTGCGCTTTAACTTCCTGTCAGCGTTTTCTGAAAGAACCAGGAAACCACAGCCAACAGACACTCAGTTTACATAAAGTCTAGAATTTCATTTTCAATAAAGGTTGGCACAAAGTTATACCAGAGAAATGATTTCTGTCAAAACATTGAGCTGAATGGCAGCTGAAATTTACTGAAGAAGCTAAAACTTAGTAAAGTTAAAACAATAAAAAAGCTAAAATGAGCAAAACAAAAACTAAAAGTGGCAGAACAGTAGCTGAAGTCAGAAAATCAAATGCTAAAGTTAAAATCAGGTAAACTAAAGCTAAATTTAGCAAAACATAAACTAAAGCTACATTTTGCAAACAATAGCTAAATTTGCAAAGCAGATGCTAAAGGTGAATTTATTTAAAAAAAAATAGATGCAATGAGCAAAACCAAAGCTAAAAAATGCAGCTAAAAGTGGTAAAATGATAGTTAAAAGCTAAAAGAAGCAGCTAAAAGCTAAAAGTAGCATAAGAAGATAAAACAGAGCCAGCAGCTGAAGCAGGTTTCAAAGTGAACAATGTTTTAGATGAAACTGCAGAAATCACATATTTCTGTGGAGAAAATGTTGGTAAATAAAGTAAAATATTTCAACAAGTATAAAAGTTATAAAACCCAAAAGCCACAGCAGAAGCATATCCTGAATGAGCCGAAGGTTTTGATAAATTACAACCAATTCTGCAGAAGATATTCTGTTGTAAAAAAGATCCAGAAGCTTCTGTGAACCTGAAAAAGATGCTGACTCAGCGTTCAGATGTTGGTGTTTAACATCTCCTGATGGTCTTTGTCCTTGTTCCTTCAGGGTCAGTGTGGTTCCTGTTGGGCTTTCAGCGCCACTGGATCTATGGAGGGCCAGCAGTTCAGGAAAGCCGGGACTCTGGTGTCGCTGAGCGAACAGAACCTGGTGGACTGTTCAGGATCCACGGGCAACCAGGGCTGCAACGGTGGCTGGATGGATCGTGCCTTTGAGTACGTTATGAACAATGGTGGTCTGGACTCGGAGCTGTCCTACCCGTACGTAGCGATGGTACGTAAGTCCCATTTAATGGTCCTGAACTGGCAGTCAACACAGTTACAGATGGAAATGTTGGAACAGTTCAACGTCCACCTGAAGTCCTGCTCACTTTCTTCAGGATGAGTTGTGTCGCTACAGCTCATTGTTCAGTGCCATCAAAGTCGCAGGGTACGCCGACATAGCTGAAGGCAGCGAAGAGGGTCTGATGGAGGCCGTGGGAACCGTGGGACCAGTGTCTGTGGCCATTGATGCCAGTAAATCGTCCTTCCAGTTTTACAGCTCCGGTCAGTTCTCGTACATATCTGAATCACGTAAAGCTGAAAAAACACTTCAGTCCTGTATTTAAACCTGCAACAGATAAAAGCTGTGACCCTGGGGGGCCTCTTCAGTCTGTAGACTCAGCTCATTGGCTGCTAAGATGCAGTTTTTTAAAAAAGCTACTGTTCAGAACCAGTTTGTCCTCAGCTGGACTCAGTTCTGTGTGTTTTAGGCATCTACTACGAGCCTGAGTGCAGTACTCTGAGTCTGGACCATGGGGTTCTGGTGGTGGGCTACGGCTCCAACGGAAATGAAAACTACTGGATCGTCAAGAACAGGTTGGTAAAGATCATCAAACAACTCGACGGCTTCGGCAACAGTTTGGTTCCTTTCGGTCTTCATACATAATTTATTTTCTTACAAATAAAAGACAGTTTTTCTCGTTCAGTGTAAAAATCTACGCGTCGATTAACGAAGCGTCCTCCTCCATGAGAACAGTTTTAGTCATTTCCCATGTTTGTCTTCTTACAGTTGGGGCATCGGCTGGGGCGACGGCGGATACATCAAAATGATTAAAGATTATGGCAACAACTGCGGCATCGCAACGTCTGCCAGTTTTCCTGTGGTGGAATAAACCGAAGATGGAAGATTTGTCCCAGTGCTTTTATTTTATGATCACAAAATCTTAATTTTAGGTCAAGGGCATTTGGTTTGGGGTTTTATGTATTTTTATTAAATCTGAAGGATTATAAACATGTTGTTCCTAATATGATTCGTTAACTTTTGTTTCTACGGTTACTGTGAGGAAATAAAGCTGTGAAACAACAGATGCATGTGCGTCTTATTATTGATCAGAATATTTAATGTTCTTCTTCTCAGTCATCCATGGTAAATAAACTAAAAACAACAGGACTTCTGTAAATCATATTTATCTGATAGAATCCAGTTTGTAAATGAAAATAATGAATCTTCTTTTTACGCCAAAGTTAGTCATGGAGTTCCTCAGGATTCAGTGCTTGGACCAATACTCTTTATCTTATATATGCTTCCATTAGGTAAAGTTATTAAACAGCATGGATACATTTTCATTGTTATGCTGATGATACACAGTTATATTTGTCCATTAAACCCAATTAATCCAATCAGCTACTTAGACTACAAGCATGTCTTAAGGACATAAAAACCTGGATGAACCTTAATTTTCTGCTTTTGAACACAGACAAAACTGAGGTTTTAGTTTTTGGACCCAAGCATATTAAGAATACATTTTTCAGTCTTCTGTCCTCCAGCTCTAATGTTAAAAATCTTGGTGTTATTTTTGATCAGGACGTGTCTTTTATCCCCCACATTAAAAACGTTACTAGAACCTCCTTCTTCCACCTGCGTAATATCACTAACATTAGAAACATCTGATCTAAAGATGATGCAGAAAAACTGGTCCATGCATTTGTCACATCTAGACTGGACTATTGCAATGGTTTATTATCTGGGTGTCCAAATACTTCTTTAAAACGTCTTCAGTTGATCCAAAATGCTGCTGCCAGAGTCTTAACTGGAGTTACTGGGAGAGATCATCTCTCTCCAGTTTTAGCTTCTCTCCACTGGCTTCCTGTCAAATCCAGAATATAATTCAAAATCTTACTTCTAACCTACAAAGCCTGAGACAACTTCTGTTGTGACTTGTCACTATAGAAATAAACTCAACTGAACTGAACTGTTCTGTTGCTGAAGACGTTTCACTTCCCGTCCCGAAGGCTTTATAAATGAAAACATGTCTGGAGAGTGTGGACGTCTAACATCCAGGTGGAGCAGCGAGCAGCTATTTGTGCACCTGGGGAGCAGGCAGGTAATACATTCTTAAAGATACCCCAACATATGGGCATGGTGGGGAATCAAACCTGTAACTTTGTGGCCCCGTGTGGGCTGCCCTACCACTGCACCACAGTCAGCTCAGTTAACCTGGAGTCACACGTAGAATGAACTCCGTTCGTCCCTCCTGAGGATCAGGGTCTTTATCTCCCAGATATGAAGCAGAAGTCCAGTCGTTCTGTTTGTGAATACTTTTGGATAGACTCTTTAGTGTTGAAGAAGAGGAAGCTTGGATGTGAGACGATGAAGACGTCGGTTAAAGCCTGAATCCTGTGTGACTGAGAGCGGGAAGCGTTTGAGTCAAGCTGCTCTTTAAAGGTCCTAAAAGACACTTTCTAAAAAAAACAACATTCCTGCTAAATTAAAACCTTATGTTCAGCCCAGTTTTAGAAAATTGGTGATGATGTCATGCCAACAATGATGGCCTAAGCACACAGCAAACTCAAGGCCCGGGGGCCAAATGTGGCCCTTGATGATATCTTATCTGGCCCCCAAGATGATATTTTAAATATAAAATACTTTTATCACTTTAATTTTTTCTGTAATCTTTGATTATTATGTCAAAATGCAACAGAGAACGTCCAATGAGACCAATCAGACTTTTGTTGAGGAACCTGCAACCAAGAAAAGATGTCAGATTGAGTTAATGCATATTCTGCAATTAGCCCTTAACGAGTTTAATTTTGGCCCCCTTTTATAAGTGACGCCCCAGGAACCGACCAATCAGAGCGCTCCAGACCAGGTCCCATTAATCTGGTGGATCTGAGATTTTTCTCTGCTTCTTCATTTTCATCATCATTTCCTATAAGTTTCAACACTTTTCTGATTTTATAACGTTAAACATTTGAAGGCTTTGTTGCTAATGTTTCACGTCCTAAAAATAATCTGTAATTTAATGTTTAGTTTGGTAAACAAAGAAGTTTTTTTATTACTTTATCAGAGAGAGACCTCCGTTGTCTTACTAACAAGCTTCTCTTAAAATTGCTTGAAAAAAGAAGTTGTTCAAATAAATTGAGGTATTTTTTTTTTTCTACCCAGAGTTCAAAACAATCCGGTTCTTACCTGAGACTTTTGTCCTCTTCACAATTTCATTTTTCTTAAAACAACAACCTGAAATCCAAATAAAAACACTGGAACAAAAAACACTGAAATGATGAACGTTTCAAACCGATGTCACTTCTTTGGAGAAGAATAAACCCGAGTGTTCTCCAGAACAAGTGAAGTTCTGACCCCATCTCCTGAAATCCTGAATAGTTTCTGACAAACTGAACGATTCTCCCCAGAAACAATGATGTCACAACTCATCTGATTTTTCATTGGTTGGCTCTTGGTCCAAGCTCCTCCTCTAACAGAGTATTTGTTAGTCCATAAATCCCCTCCAGCAGGTTCAGCTTCTTCTCCTCTGCAGAAGGTTAACAGACGGTGTCACAAGTCCTGGTTCATGGGCCCAGAACAGGACGTGAAGCGCAGGAGGCAGCTGCTTCAAACAGTTCAGTCGTTTTATTAAAACAAAAGGCGCCGAACGGCCTCAAGGGAGAAGAGAACACCAAAGACCCGAATAAAGAGGAGGTCTGAACGGATGCAGGTGTGATAAATGTTCTATCAGAACCAGGTGAGAGCAGAACATAAAACCAAACAGATCCAAACAACCCGTCCAACAAAACCCGTCCGTCTGATCTACTAGAGTCCTGTTGGATCATCTGGGTGGAAGGTGCAGGATCTTGTGGATTATGGACCTGCTGGTCTCCCCTGATGCCAGGGCAGGTTGTGGAGGTTTTGAAGGGGGACCTGGCTGCACCCTGTTGAGTCCAGGGATGTGAAAGTAGGGGCAGGTAGTTGAGGCGGTTCAGTCATTTTAATGAAACCAGATCTGATGAATAGATCCAACGTCATTGATGAGCTGATGGGACCTGAGGTTCTGGATGAGCTGGACTGTTGGAGACCAGTTAGGGACCGGCCTTCATGGGGGAGTTTCCAAAATGTCTCCAAACCAAACGTCAGTTCTCAGTTTCCTCACGGGAGTCTCAAAGACTCACTCTCTCGTGTCACAGGAATTTTTAACATTCTTGAAAGAATTAGTGAGACGAGTTTTCACACAGAGTCCTGGAGGTTCTGCGGGTCAGAACCGTGAGACCGCTGTGGGACGTTAGGGTGACCTGAGAAACCAAACGTGACCGTTAGAAGAACTAAATAAAATAAAAACAGTATAAAATGTCTTCAGAGTTAGACTCTTAGTGACTAAATTGTTACAAATAAACGTACTCATCCTTTATTCTCAGTTTGGAACTAACTCGTGCGTGTCAGAATAGAAACATAAAACATTTAATATTTAACAGAATAAAATGATCTCAGTCTTGTGTAGTTGTATTTCTAAGACGGAGGCGGTTGTTCTGTCACTGGTCTGATGCTCAGCCTCCACAGGTGACTCCCTGAATTCATCAACATGAACGTGCTTCAAACCGTCAGACGTTTGAGTAAATTTCAACAACTGAACGAAATAAAAATAAACTCTGAAGGTGCTTTAAGTGTTGAGCCTTCCTGTAAAACCCAGACCTTTGTGTTCCTGTCAGATGATGAGGAACACATTCTTCCTCAGTGACGCCACATCACCTGGACTGAGGACGTGGACCAATCAGAGAGCTCCGTTTATTTACCTCGATACAACCAGTCTTTATAAACTTCTCTGGTGATGAGACAAAAACCAGATTATCCTCTGCTTCCTAACTAACACGGTAAGTTTTTACACCTTATGAATGTTTTAAAGTGGAAACTTTACTGACCTTTCATTGTTGCTCCAAACTTACCTGTTCAAACAATTAACTCGATTTAGTATTTTATATAATTTGTTTATTAATGCTATCCATGTCTTGTTCTGTTCAAGTGTCAGATTTCCCTCTTCACCCAATCTGAATGTTTCTCCTAAACTAGTGTTTTTTTTTAGCCTAAACTTCCAAACACACCGTGGAGTTTTTCTGTCAGTCTTTATTTTAAGTGTTTAATAATTTACCGTAAGTTAAACCTAAAAAGAGAGAAATGCAGATTGTAAACCACCTGATTTATGGTTACAAATAATAAAAAATACACACGTGTTCTAAAAATAGTTAGCTCCTCCTCCCCTCATCTGATCCCAGTCAAGGTTTTGACACTTTCTTGGCTCCCACTCGGGATGATGAAGATGAAGATGATGATAAGGATCAAATTCTTGGCTGTTTACAAGAAAAAAGATTCAGACTCAGTTCAGCTGTCCCTGATTGAATGGAAATATAAAGATAGAAATTAATAAGAGTAATGTTAAAATTCCAATAAATACCTCAAACTGAGCACATTTTATTTAAGCAGCACATTTAACATCACCAGAGGTTTGTCATATAAAACCATTGAACAGTTCAAACTAAATCATAAAGTCCAAAAACTATAAAATATAGAAGAACAAAGGGGGATAAATCAGAGAGAATGTGAAAAATAATTTATAATTTATAATAAAAAGTCAATCAAAATAAACATATCTAATAAAAATAACATTTTATCCAAGGCTGAATAATACTTGAGTAAAGCTCCTCAGATGTTCCTGAGGAGAAATAAACATGAGATGGTTTGATGTTCCTGTTAAATGCTCCTGATGATGAAGCACCACCTCCGGAGCTCCTGGCCTCCAGACTCCTGCAGGTTCTCACATGTGTCCTTCGACTTCTTGTTTTCCAGTAAGAGCCTAAACGATGCTGCCTGTAGTTGTGTTGACGGTGTGTCTGAGTGTGGCTCTGTCCGCCCCCACTCTGGACACTGAGCTGGACCAGCACTGGGACCAGTGGAAGAGCTGGCACCAGAAGAACTATGATGAGGTGATCCACTGAATTTTTATTGTTGTCTTCTGAAGCCATGAAACGCTGCACCACAGAGCAAGTTCTACAAAGTCAGGCGGATTACTAACTATAGACCAAAGGTAACATATGCATACATTTATTTAATGCAGAAAGAGGAGGTCTGGAGGAGGATGATATGGGAGAAGAACCTGAGGATGATCGAGCTGCACAACCTGGAACATTCCATGGGCAAACACACCTATCGCCTGGGGATGAACCATTTTGGAGACATGGTAAGACCAAAACATACATCTGTCTCTCACCTGGTGTCAGGTGTTAAAAATGGTGATTAAACTAAAGATGGATTAGGTCGTGTATCACTAAAAATGTGTTGAAATGTTTAAAGTTTGAAGATCTATCAGACATATTTTCAGCAGATGACCAGTTTATACTGGAGTAAAGAAGTCATATAGCAGAATATCATCAACATTACAGTGGACATATTTGCAGTACAGTGTATAAATATTAACTAGAAAAAAGCATCTGTAAAGTAAAAAGTACTGGTCCAAGAACACAGTCCTGCAGAACTCCAAAGTTAATGCATACTTATGTGTGTTTGTGTGTGCTTATTAAATATAAAATAAATATATTTCTTTAAGAGACATGAGAAAGAAGTATTTTTAAATTCAACACAAACATTTTAAAGTAACGACTTGTACAGTTGTATAAAACAAACTGTGAGAACATGAAGAAGAGAAAGTTCAGATGCTTGATTCACTGGTTGATCTTCCTGCAGACTAACGAAGAGTTCAGACAGATCATGAATGGATTCAAGCCCGAAGCAAACAGGAAGACCAAGGCATCCCTGTTCGTGAAGCCTAATGACCTGAAGGTTCCCGACAGTGTGGACTGGAGGACACAAGGCTACGTGACACCTGTGAAGAACCAGGTAATAGCAGGTTTCCCTCTGATTTTCTGTGGATCTCCGGTATCTTGACTGACTCAGTGCGTTAAACAGAACCATCTGTGGAAGTGAAATGTCTCTACAGTTAGAATAGAATAGAAGAATAGAAACAGCTTTTATTGTCCCACAGATGGGAAATTCAAGTGTAACAGCAGCAACAGGATCATAAGAGATAAAGGCATGTCTCAAAGTCAACTGAAGGTATTTAGTAATACCAGTTGACCAGACATAATGTCATGTCTTGACAGTTGAAATCAATGTTCTTCTTGAACAGAACACTGTGAGGCATAGAGTGTTGCGTTATTTTGTTCATATTAACCTCTCCTGGCTTGATCTTTCTTCGTGTTTTGTCAGGGTTCATGTGGTTCATGTTGGGCTTTTAGTGCCACTGGAGCTCTGGAGGGCCAGCTCTTCAGGAAGACCAGCAGTCTGGTATCACTGAGCGAACAGAACCTGGTGGACTGCTCAAAATTTGAGGGCAATCATGGCTGTGGTGGTGGTTGGATGGATCAAGCCTTCAAGTATGTTATGGACAATGGCGGTTTGGACACCGAGGCGTCTTATCCGTACGAGGGAACAGTACGTAACTCAGGAGACAAAGAAATCCTAGTTCAAGAGCTATATTGGTCGTCAGTGAAGTTACAGTTGCATTTAAACTAAAGTTTACCACAGTTCACCTGTCTCCCCCCCCCCACACACTTTTTTGTTCAACACTCAGGATCAGCCGTGTCGCTACAACCCAGCGTTCAGTGCCGTCAACGTCACAGGGTACGTAGACGTTACCAAAGGCAGCGAACAGGCTCTGATGGAGGCCGTGGGAACTGTGGGACCAGTATCTGTTGCTATTGATGCCAGTAATTTGTCCTTCCAGTTTTACAGCTCAGGTCAGTTCATCTTTAGTTTGAGTTTCAACAGTAGGTCATTGATAAAATGCTTCAGTAGGACGTGGGTCTATAAGTTTATAATCACGTATCAAGAGAAACGTGTAACAGTGGGATGATAAGATCAGTTGGGTATTACCACCTGGACCTGCAGCTTCCTGTTGTTGACTGGTTGAAAACAGGATTCTTTGGGTTTTAGGTGTGTACTACGATGTAAACTGCAGCCCAGTGCCTGACCACGGTGTGCTGGTGGTGGGTTACGGCACCGAGCAGTCTGACGACTACTGGCTTGTAAAGAACAGGTCAGTACAACTTTGAGAAAAACTTACAGGCTTTTTATAACTTTTTAATGCACCTTCATTACCTTAAAGTTCTCTGTATCAGTTTGAAAACCTCTGTTTTATTATCATCCTTTATATCTAAGCTACTTAGTATTAAAAAAAACATTTATTCTATATTTAAATGTCAAATTTTTAATAAAGAAGGATGTTTACTACTTTGTGATCTAACTTTTATGTCGTTGCAGCTGGGGTGAACTCTGGGGTAATAAGGGCTACATCCAAATGTCCAGAAACAGAGACAACAACTGCGCCATCTCGTCCTACGCCAGTTATCCCAAGGTCTGAGTGCAGCGCCACATCATGACTCCGTGATGCTTTTAATGAAACACTCGGGAACAAAGAAGTGAAGAAGGCATTCTGCCATGTTTCATGGAGAGAAAACTTGTTTTTAGTTAAGTGGCATCATAAAAATAATGTGTTATGTATCGTCATCATTGTATGTTTTCATACAATGACGAAATTGGCTCTCTGCATTTAACCCATCCACCACCAGGTGGTGCAGTGGGCAGGTATTGAAAGCACAGGGAAGCATTTTTGGGGATACGGTGTGCTGCTCAGAGACACCACGAGATGTGCAATGACTGGGGATCGAACCTGGGACTTTCAGGTCCCGAGTCGGCTGCCCTGCCTTGTCTTTAAAGCTGAACTAAACACTGCATATATAAAGGTGTGTTTACTGTTTTATTTGTTTTACATTTGTTTTGTTTTACTGGTTCAATTAAAGTTGTAAATTACCAGCCTTGTGTTCAGACTCATGAATCTTGTTGAACAATGCTCAAACTAATAAAAGTCCAAGGCACACAAGAATAAACCACCATCAGCAAAATTTTATTAGAATTATTGTATTCATAAAGTAAATGTAAAATATTGTGAGTTGCTAGCATTAGCATTAGACATTCAACCATGTGTCTAATGCTAACACTAATGCTATGTTTGTGTTCTTATTGTGGTTCTTAAAGAACAGTTCTCCGGTGTTTCTGACTTGAGCTGACAAATATCAACATTAACTCAGTTCTGATTTAACTGTTTCAATTGAGAATCAAAACAATTAACATTAAGCACTTTATAATATCAAGTTATAATTCAAAATTCAAGGACATGGTTTTTATACTGAAACTGCAGAGGATGGATGGATGGATGGATGGATGGATGGATGGATGGATGGATGGATGGATGGATGGATGGATGGATGGATGGTAACTTCATAGTAGGACCGGTGAACATCACAGATGTCATGATCATGTCCTCTGACGCCTTGCTGACAGCCCCTCATGTCAAGTTTCTGCTTCTTCTTGTCATGTTTTCTGCTCCTGTCATCCAACCACGCCCACTCTGCACATTCACCTCAATCAGCAATCATGCCATTCACTTGTTACCTGCTCTACTTAAGCTCCACGCTCACTCTCATCCTCTGCCAGATTATTATACCTCTTTGTGGTCCCCGATATCCAGCCATTCCTGTTCATGTTCATAGCCTTGTCTTGACCTCATGCCTGCCTTTTGGAAACCCAACCTGCCTGCTTCCTGTCTGTTCTGGATTTGCATTTCTAATCACGGTGTCAAGTTCCTCTTCTGACCAAATGACTATGATGCACAGATTACCCCTTTGGATTTAAACTGTCCCCCTGTACTTGACCATGCTGTGTCTCTGGACCTGGTTCTTCAGATCTCCCCTCCTTTCTCACTCTCCTCAGCTTTACCTTGCAGCTGAGCTTCACCGAGTGAGGTGACGTCATCCTGTCCTACTCCTTCAGGTGGCCCCCACCCCTCCTATCTGTGAAGGTGGCTATCACTCCGTCCTTCCTATGAAGACCTGTCACCTCAGTCGGATCCTGACCCCTTCTGCAGCTGCAAAATAAATAAAAACTGTTCTTGTTTGATGTCACTGGAAGATGGAAGGAATACTTATCAGACCTTTTCAGTCCTATCGGCATGTCTTCCATGCAAGAAGATGAGTTGGGGGACTTTGAGGTCGCTGAGGTAGTTAAAAAGCTCCATGACAGCAGGGCTCTGGGAGTGGATGAGATCTGCCCTGATTTCCTCAAGGCTCTGGATGTTGTGGGGCTGTCTAGGTTGACACTCCTTTACAATATTGTGTGGACATCGGGGGCAGTGCCACTGGATTGGCAGACTGGGGTGGTTCACCTCCTCACAAAGGGGGCCTGTAGTTTGTGTCCCAATTATAAGGGTATCGCTCTCCTTAGTCGCACAGGCAAGGTCTATTCAGGGGTACTGGAGAAGCGAGTCCAGTCAAACTTTGGAATCAGGAGGAACAATGCAGGTTCTGTCCTGGCCGTGGAACACTGGATCAGATCTTTACACTCAATAGGATCCTTGAGGGGTTATGAGAGTTTGCCCATCCTGTCTACATGTGTTTTGTGGACTTGGAGATGGCAGTTGACTGTGTTACATGAGGTACACTGTGGGAATGCATCATGAGTATGGTATAAGGCGCCCTTTGCTACAGCTGATTCAGTTTCTATACAAGCAATCAAGAGTTTGGTTCATGTTTGGACCCCTTCAGAGTAGGAGTTGGACTCCACCAGTGTTGCCCGTTGTCCCTGATTTTGTTAATAACTTTCTTATGATAAGAAACATAATTTATTGGTGCAGCCAGGGGATGGAGGGAGTCCAGTTCAGCGGCCTCAGGATTCCAGCTCTGTTTTTTGCGGATAATGTGATCCTATTGGCGTCATCGTGCCATGAATTTCAGCACTTACAGGAGTGGTTTGCAGTCAGGTGTGAAGTGGCTGGGATGAGAATCAGCACCTCCAGACTTGAGGCCATGGTCCTCAGTCAGAAAAGGGTAGATTGCTCTCTTCAGGTCAAGGATGACGTTCTGCCTCAAGTAGAGGAGTTCAAGTATCTAAGGGTTTTGTTCACAAATGTGGGAAGAATGGAACTAGAGATCTATAGATGGGTTGGTGCAGGTTCCTCAGTATTGTGGACTTTGTGCCAGTCCATTGTGGTGAAGAGGGTGCTGAGCTGTAAGGAGAACCTCTCCGTTTACTGGTCAATATTTTTTCCTATCATCACCTCTGTCATGAACTCTAGGTAGAGACCGAAAGAATGAGACTGCGGATCCATGAGTTCTAGATGAGTTTTCCTTGGACTTTCTTTTAGAGAGAAGTTCAGTTTAAAGAGAAGAGACTCAGAGAAGAGCCGCTGTTCCTTCACACTGAGAGGAGCCAGTTCAGGTGGTTCAGACATCTGATAAGGATGGACCCTGGGTTTCTCCCTAGGGAGGAGCATGTCCAATTTGGAGAAGACCCTGAGGAAGACCCACTGGAGAGACTATTGCCTCTTTTCCATTAGTGCCAGTACAACACAATACATCATGGTACAGCTGGTTTTCCAATACACTCCATAATGGCTCTAGTACGCGGGTTCAGAGTTCAAAAATTGACAACGCACCTTACCAGCTGGTGGTGGTAATGCTGGTGGGAAGACCCTGAAACAAGTTTCAGTACAGGGTGAGAATTTATTTTGAAGTTTCTGGTAAATTAAAAAGAATACAGTTTATTAAAATGATCAAATGAAACTATATATACATAAATCCTGCTAATGCACTTTTAATGAACTTTAGTTCACCATTAAATCTCTGATGAACCAGGTTCTTCAAAAACATCTATATTTAAAATTTTATAAATTTTATAGGTTTCTTCATTATTTGTTTTTAAAATCTTAAAAATAGTTCCTCTCCGAGTTTGAGTTATTGCAAATGGCAGATTGGTTTGTTGTGAAAGTTTCTCAAACAACCAGTGACTCCACCCCCTGACCAATCAATGACCGACAGTGTTCTGACGTCACATTTTAAGGCCAACGCGGTACGCTAGGAACCAGAGCAAAGTGGGTTTTGAAAACGGGGCTGGTTCCACAAATCAAGTGGAAAAGCCTTGGAACCGTGCTGAACCGAGTCGAACCGTATCGTACAGGCGCTAATGGAAAAGGCCCATATGTCAGACGTTTGGCCTGGTAACGCATTGGGGTCCTCCCAGAACAGCTGGAAGAGGAGGCTGTGAAAAGAGATGTCTGGACCTCCCAGATCAAGACACTGCCCCCGTGACCTGATTTCACAACAAGCAGAAGATGATGGATGGATGATGGATGGATGGATGGATGGATGGATGGATGGATGGATGGATGGATGATGGATGGATGGGTATTTTGAAGTTTGTTAATAATGTGGCTGACATGATACAGGATGTCCTGCAGGTTACTTGTTTATAAATATATGAATAAATTTAGTCACCTGGACTTTTCAGCGTGACCAAATCTGAGAGTAAACCAGCAGTTAGTGTGAATAAAACACAATGAAGACGTTAAACAAAATCAAAACGAGCTTCAAGAGTTAAACAGTCCAGCAGCTCATTAAAGGGAGGGATTTATGCTCTTTCATTGTCACCTGAAATCACCTGTAAGGAGCTGACCAATCAGAGCGCAGAATGCGTATCTTATAAACGTTGTACTCCTCAGTGGAAATTAAACTCCTTCTTGATTCTTCAGCTTCAGGAACAGTTTTTGGTAAGTTTCACATTTTACAGTTGTTGTTTTGCAAATACTAAAGCTAAAACAACTTTTGTGTCTTTGAATAATACCCAATTATTTTTTTTGTTAATCATTTAGCAATATATTGTTATTTATTTTATACAAGATTTTCTGAACTCCAGCCAGTGTTGAAGCATTTTAATGAGTTGGTCAGGTTCCAGGTTTTGCTTCCAATTCTGAATTGTTTATTGGGAAACAAATGTGAAATGTTTAGTTTTTACTAAAAAACTAACCAGCACAACAGAGTGTTTCTGTCAGGTTATAAAGATTTCACAAAACTTTGCCACTAAATTCTGCCGATATTTCAACTTGGAGTTTAAAGTTTGCAGCGATTTAAACCTGAAGAATGCAGATGTGATCTGATGTGAAAACATCTAATGCATTGTCTGGTTTTATAATGGTGACCTCCTCCCTGTTCCCATTAACATCCACCCAAGGTTTAATAGCTTCTTGGCAGCTGGCCCTGAGATGATGATCGAATCAAACTGAAGCTTTCTGACGAACAGAGAATAACTCAGGTTGTTGTTTGAATTTTTGTTGGGTGAATAGTTTCTCTGTATAAAAAATGTAAATGACAGAAATAAAAAACATACAATCATGCAGTGAAGTGATGAATAAAATAAATCCTCCTGATGATCTTCTGACAAACTGGGCAGCAGCTTTCAAGGTCAAGGTCAAGGTCAAGGTTCTTTATTGTCATTCGCATCACATGTGGTACATGAGGTGGAACAAAACACAGGGTCCCAGTTACATCCAGCAATAGCAAAAATATAAAGTGTAAAAATAAACAGTAAATAAGGATCAGAGATATAAACGAAGATATACGCTGAACTTTAACAGTGCCAAAGAATACATGGAACAACAGCAGCACGAACATGAGTCTTTGTGGATGGATGAGTACGAATGAATAAATACAGCAGCATGAGATCAGCAGCATGGATGATCAGCAGCACTTATCAACAATCAAAGTTACAATACAGTGATTTTTTTTCAGAGTGATGATCCTGATTAGGGATTTGTGAGTCTACCAGCTTCAGGGTAGAAGCTGTTCCTCTTGTCCTCCTCCTGTTTCCAGCTTGTTTACAAACTTCAGTCCAAGTAAACAAAGTCTACTACACAAACAATGCCAGGCATGAGGATGGAGACAGATTTAATGAAGAACTTCCTGCATGACTTGATGTTTCTGTAATTAATAATCACCTCCTGAGCTCCTGGCTTCCAGACTCCTGCAGGTTCTCACATGTGTCCTCTGACTTCTTGTTTTCCAGTAAGAGCCTAAACGATGCTGCCTGTAGCTGTGATGACGGTGTGTCTGAGTGTGGCTCTGTCCGCCCCCACTCTGGACCCTGAGCTGGACCAGCACTGGGACCAGTGGAAGAGCTGGCACCAGAAGAACTATGATGAGGTGATCCACTTAGTGTGTATTGTTTCCCTCTGAAGTCGTGAAACGCTGCACCACCGAGCAAGTTCTACAGTCAGGCTTTGTTTGTGTAAGCTGGCAGAACCTACAACTAGTTAGAGAACTTTTACTAAATGTATTTTTATGTATGTGAATTTATTTGTTCAGTGCCCTGGAACAACTTCTGTTGTGACTTGGAGCCATAGAAATAAACTGAATTGAATTGAACTGAAATAATCTGTTGTCAAGAAGGAACTGTTAAGCATATGTCATCATTTTATTTATATGATTTAGAGAGAGACAAGTTGTAACAAGATCTTTAAAAAGATAACTTTCAGAAACACGATTGAAGAAAGATATTCTTAGTTAAACCCAAATTTACAGAGAGTATAGTTTTTTTTAAATGTTTTGTGTGTTGTATTTTATTTTATTTTATCATTACAATGGGAGGAGAACAGTTCTAGAGGAGCTTTGAAGCTATGAAAACGTGTCTTTACACATATCAGCAGGGGCAGACTGGCTGTTGGGAGCGCCGGGACATTTCCCGGTGGCCTGGCCCGTTGGCCTGGCCCGGTGGCCTGGCCCGTTGGCCTGGCCCGTTGGCCTGGCCCGTTGGCCTGG